GACCTATTGGTTTATGCCAATTCTGCACTGATGCCTCTCCAGTTAAACGGTAATGGCAGCACAAATACATCCCAAAAGAATTTACCAACTAACCCTCTGCTATTGCTGTTCAAGTTCTTTCAAATAGTTTCAAACATTTTCTCATGATAAAAATTAAATTTAACTGGCTTATAGTTTCTTGCTGTTGTTTATTTGGTAAAGAGTTACATTCACTAATGGAACCGTCTCTGAGTCTAGAGAATTTCAGAAAATTAGAACCAACTCATCAATAGCTCAATAGCCACTTATTTTAAGACTTTAGGATGAAGTCCATTAGGACCTGGAGACCTGATAGCCTGCAGCTCCAACTATTTTCTCAGTCCCTCTTCCCCAGTGATAATGATTTTGTTTCATTTCCTCCCTCCCATTTCATGATTTACAGTATTTTTGGGCTGTTACATATGTACAATATTTTTACATTAATGACTTCGATGAGGAAATTGAATGTACTTCAGCCAAGTCTGCAGGTGACACAAAAATAGGCAGGAAGACAAGTGGTGAGGATGACACAGAATCTGCAGAGGGATTGGACGGGTTCAGTGAGCAGGCAGAATCTTGACAGATAGAATATAACGTGGGGAAATGCTAAGTTTTGGATTTTGGCTGGAAGAGGAGAGGAGCTGAATATTACTCGAATGGAGAAAGACTGCAGAACAGGGATTTGAGAGTCCTGGTCCATTAATCACAAAAAGCTAACATCCAAGTTCAGCAGGTAATAAGGAAGGCCACTGGTTGTTGGCCTTTGTTTTAATGCGAATGGAATATAAAAGTGGGGAAATGTATAAAACTATACAAGGCACTAGTCAGGCCGCGGCTTGAATACTGTGAACAGTTTGGGCCCATTATCTAAAGAAATATATACAGGCAGTGGACGTAGTCCAATGAAGGTTCACTAGACTGTTACCAGGTATGGAGAGACTGTCTTATGAGGATAAAGATTTACAAGGATGTTGCGAGACTGGAGGGTTTGAGCTCTAGAGAGAGGCTGAATAGGCTGGGGCTTTTTTCCCTGGAGTGTCGGAGGCTCAGGGGTGAGCTTATAGGGGTTTATAAAATCATGAGAGTCATGGATATGATGAATAGCCAAGGTCTTTTTTTAGGATCAGGGAGTCCGAAACTAGAGGGGATAGGTTTAAGATGAGAGGGGAAAGATTTAAAAGGGACCTGAGGATTAACTTTTTCACGCAGAGGATGGTGCGTGTTTGGAATGAACTGCTAGAGGAAGTGGTGGAGGCTGGCACAATTACAAGATTCAAGAGGCAGATGGATAGGTTTAGAGGGATATGGGCCGTATGCTGGTAAATGGGACTAGGTCAGATTGGATGTCTGATGGGTCTGTTTCCATGCTGTATGGCTCTGAGAGGTTGAGTAGATTGGGTCTGTACTTGTTGGAAAACAGAAGAATAGGAGGTAACCTTACTGAAATATATACAGAACTGAGGTTGAGAGGGTGAGGAGCATTAATTTCCTCGGAGTGACGATAACCGACAACCTGTCCTGGACTTCCCACGTAGATGCGACAGTCAAGAAGGCACAACAATCCCTCTTCTTCCTCAGGTGGCTCAGGAAATTTGACATGTCCATAAGGTCCCTCACCAACTTCTACAGATGCACTATTGAAATCAGTTCTGAGGAAGGGTCACCAGACCCAAAACGTTAACTCTGATATTTTCTTCATAGATGCTGCCAGATCTGCTGAGCTTTTCCAGCAACTTCTGTTTTCATTCCTGATTTACAACATCGGCAGTTCTTTTGGTTTTTATTGAAAGCATACTGTCTGGGTACATAACGGCCTGGTATGGCAACTGCTCTGCCCAGGATCGTAACAAACTACAGAAGGTGATGTGCACAGCCCAGACCATCACAGAAGCTAACCTTCTATCCATGGACTCCATTTACATGGCTCGCTGCTGCGGAAAGGCGGCCAACACCATCAAAGACCCATCGCACCCCGGTAATGATCTCCTACAACCTCTTCCATCAGGCAGAAGATACAGAAGCCTGAACACACACACAAGCAGGTTCAGGAACAGCTTCTTTCTGGCCGTTATCAGACTGTTGAATGGACTCTAGCCTCAAATAATATAACCTGCAATGTAACCTGTATGCCTCTAACTCTTTTTGATCTGTACATCCTTTGCTTGCTGTAATCTGCCTGTACCCGCTCGTAAACAAAGCTTTTCACTGTATTTCAGTACACGTGACAATAAAATTAATCCAGAGAAACAGAATGTTCTGGAGACCCTGGTTCCAATCCTGCCATGGTAGATGGTGGAATTTGGGCTCAATAAATATCTGGAATTAAGAGTCTAAAAAGATTCTTTGGGGACTTGTGCAGTAAATATGGAAAGGCTGTTTCCTCTTGTTGTAGACTAGGACCAGAGAGTATCACCTCAGAATAAGGGGTCTCTCTTTTAAGATAAGATTGAGGATGAATTTCTCTCAGAAAGTTGTGAATCTGTGCAATTCTTTACCACAGCTGGCTGTCAAGGCTGGGTTGTTAAGTACATTCAGGGCTGAGATAGACCAATTTTTAGTCAGTTAGAGAATTCCAGGTTAGAGGGGAAAGGCAGGAAACTGGAGTTGAGGATTATCATGATCTCATTGAATGGTCAAGCAGGCTCGATGGACTGAATGGCCTACTTCTGCTTCTACACCATCTAATCTGATTTGTCTTACCTTCCATAGTGAAGACGATGCAAAGTGCTTGTTTCATTCTCCATGCTAGCATTGTATAGGGCCAGCTCTCACTTTGTTGACTTTTTTTAAAAAAATCTACAGTAACTGTTACTAGCTTTTTTTATATTTCCAGACCTCATACTCTAATTTTCCCTTTGTTTACCTTCAGTCATCCTGTGCTGGTGTGTATATTGTAGCCAGTCTCCTGACCTTGGGCATTTATAAGGTCTTTCTTCTCTTTAACATTTCTAATTAACCATGGAGGCTGGGTCCATCTCTTGGATCTATTCTTTCTCATTGAAATATATCTACTCCTGCATTTTAAGATATCTCCTTAAATATTTAAATGCTCTTCCCTTAAATATTTGTCACTGCATCTCTTCTGACCTCTTCTTTAACCTAATTTGCAAGTTCAGTTCAGCTAGCTATGCTGTCTTGCCCTTATTTAAGTTTAAAACACTAGTCCATTCAGTGGTCTTCTTTCTTAATATTAATGCATTGAAGTTTCCTTGTGCTCCTACGCTTCCCTGTCTGGGAGGTGGTGAGAACTAGTTGGGACAGAGGGTTCTGCAAACCACAATACGACTGCCTCCACCTGACGTTAATGAGTGACTACAGACGAATCTTTATCTTGCTTTTTTTCTTATAAAGGACGTTGGTTTTATTAAACATCCCTAATTGCCCTTGAGCTAGGAGAAGACAGTTTAAAACGTTAACTGCATTGCTGTGGATCTGGAATCTCACATAGGCCAGACCAGGCAAGGACGGCAGATTATCTTCCCTGAAGGACATTAGTGAACCAGCTTGATTTTTACAGCAAGCATGGTAATTACATGGCACCATTACTGAGACTAGTTTTACATTCCAGATTTAGTACTCATTGCATTTATATTCCACCAGCTATCAGGTTAGGATTTAAACCAGGTTCTCAAGGCGGTGATGTCTAAGATTCTAGCATGTTGAGAATCTAGCCTTTGATTGCCATAGCGACTGCACAGTTTCATGGTTTAAAAAGGACCTATTTTCATTTGACTTTTAAATCAAAGGATGAAACTTGAAGAGAGCTCTGCGTGTGTCTGTTCAGCCGCGCCCTACTGACAATTCACTGCCCTTGTTTACTTAATGAGATGGTGGCTCAGTGGTTAACACTGCTGCCTCATAGCGTCAGGGACCCAGGTTCGAATCCAGGCAGCTGTCTGTATGGAATTTGCACATTCTCCCTGTGTCTGTGTGGGTCGCCTCTGGGTGCTCCGGTTTGGCCATAGGAAATTGCCCCATCGAGTCCAGGGATATGCAAGCTAGATGGGTTAGCCACAAGAAATGCAGAGTTATGGGGATAGGGTGAACAGGGGCGTGGGTCTGGATGGGATGCCCTTTGGAGGGTCGGTGTGGGCTGAATGGCCTGCTTCCACACTGTAGGGATTCTGTGATTCTAAGTCATCCAGTGTGGGTATCTGCAGAAATGGCTGTTTACTGCTGGAATGCTAGGACTGGACTGCAGGTGTCAGTGGGAATGCATTTGACTTTGTGGGGAAAAGATGATCTTGTAACTGGAAAACTACACTAGCTCCAGAATACAATAACTTGCCCTGAGATCACATCCCACCTTTTAAATGTTCTGCTTCTGGAGTGCAAACTTGCAATGCTACACTCGCAACTGTTTAAAGTGACTCCAAATTAGTTTTACAAAAGTTCTTGGGAAGTCTAATGCACCTATTTCCCTCTCTCCCACCTTCCCATGCACAAACCAAGCTTTACAACACACTGATGGTGCAGACAAAGCCCAGTAATGCCTCAGGGTGCCCTCTCTCCCTGCCTCAGCAGCTCCCTCTCATTACTGAGCTCTGGAGTCAGACCAGGACCAGACACTGGAGGTCTGCAGCTTCAGTGATGAGCAGAAATCGAACCACTGTAACAAGATAAATGAAAGTTTATATTACCAAGTGTTGTAGGCAACTGCTAGGTTTCATGCACTGAATGTCCTCTCAGGGCTGGCTTTTATGCAAGAGGGAGAAGGCTGGGGTCTCTGATGGGCAAAGGGAAGTTGTGAAAATGAGGATCCAGCCCCACCCTTGAAGGTCTTTGCCAAGTATGCCCTACTGGGCTGAACACTCGGTGCCAACCTTCTCTGCCACGGGTGGCTATAAATTAGTGGAACTATGATGGAGCGGGGACCGAGCCCACCCATTTGGCAGACACATTCATGCTGTGATGATTGAAATCATATTGACACAGCGATGGATTTTACTTATACTTAGATTCCTTTTATCTTTCTTTTACAGGTGGGTGGCACCAAAACTGGAGTTGTAAAGTATGTCGGAGAGACGGATTTTGCAAAGGGAGAGTGGTGTGGAGTTGAACTGGATGAACCACTGGGAAAAAATGATGGCGCTGTCGCTGGCACAAGGTTATAATCCCCCTTATTAACCTCACAGCTCACATGAGTGGCTAAATTGTGTCTTTGACATTACCCAGGTGCCCCTGTCCCACCCCGCAAAACAATCCCCACCATCCTCCTTGCTGCCGTGGGAAGTGTCTGATTGCTGGGTGGTCACCATCTTCTGAATGAGACCCTCCATTAAATTCTAACCAAAGGCTTCATTTACATTTGAATTTTGTTACTCTTTACATGCAACTAAAACTGAAGTGTGCAATTATTAAGTTAGAAAAGAAGTGCCCCATTTCTGAGGGCAGGGTGGCTCAGTGGTTAGCGCTGCGGCCTCACAGCACCAGGGACCCGGGTTTGATTCCACCCTCGGGCGACTGTCTGTGTGGAGTTTGCACATTCTCCCCGTGCCTGTGTGGGTTTCCTCCGGGTGCTTTGGTTTCCTCCCACAGTCCAAAGATGTGCAGGTTAGGTGGAATCGCCATGGGAAATTGCCCCTAGAGTCCAGGGTTGTGCAGGCTGGGTGGGTGAGCCATGGGAAATGCAGGGTTACAGTGATAGGGTAGGGGGATAGGTCTGAGTGGGGTGCTCTTCAGTGTGGACCCGATGGGCCAAGTGGCCTGCTTCCACACTGTCGTATTCTGTGGTATATGACCTAGTAATTAAGGTCTGCTTGATCAAAAAGCGAGTGATAGATCCTATAACACACCTCTTATAAATAGGATCACATTTTCTTTTTCATGCCATTGGGCATGCTTGAGGAGGACACTGGATGGATAGATAACAGAGAAAAGAACAGGAGAATGTAGAAGGCAATTCATCTCAAGCATAAACAATAGCAGAGGCCAGTTTGATTGAAGAGCCATAAAGTTATAGATCTGTACAGCACGGGAACAGACCCTTCGGTCCAACTCATCCATGCCTTCCAGATATCCAAAATTAATCTAGTCCCATTTGCCAGCATTTGGCCCATATCCCTTTAAACCCTTCCTATTCACATACCCATCCAGATGTCTTTTAAATGTTGTAATTGTATTGGTCTCCACCTCTTCCTTTGGCAGCTCATTCCATACACACACCACTTTCTGCGTGAAAAAGTTGCCCCTTAGGTCCATTTTATATCTTTCCCTTCTCACCTTAAACCTATACCCTCTAGTTTTGGACTCCACCACCCCGGGGAAAAGACCTGGCTTACTTCCCTTATCCATGCCCCTCATGATTTTATAAATCTCTTTAAGGTCCCAGCCTTTTCAGCCTGTCCCTGTAGCTTAAACCCGCCCAACTCTAGCAACATTCTTGTAAATCTTTTCTGAACCCTTTCAAGTTTAACAACATCCTTCCTGTAGCAGGGATTGCACACAGTATTCCAAATGTGGCCTAACCAATGTCCTGTACAGCTGTAACGTGACCTCCCAACTCCTATACTCAATACACTGACCAATAAAGGCAAGCGTACCAAACGCTGCCTTCACCACCCTGCCTATCTGCAACTCCACTTTCAAGGAATTATGAACCTGCACTCCAAGGTCTCTTTGTTCAGCAACACTCCTCAGGACCTTACCATTAAGTGTATAAATCCTGCCCTGAATTGCCTTTCCAAAATGCAGCACCTCACATTTATCTAAATTCTGCCACTCCTCAGTCCATTGGCCCATCTGATCAAGATCCTGTTGTATCTTTGCTGCCCACTACACCTCCAGTTTTAGTGTCATCTGCAAATTTACTAACCATACCTCCTATGTTCACCTCCAGACTGTTTATACAAATGATGAAAAGCAGTGGACCCAGCGCTGATCCTTGTGACACACCACTGGTCACAGGCCTCCAGTCTGAAAAGCAACCCTCCACCACCACCCTCCGTCTCCTACCTTCGAGCCAGTTCTGTATCCAAATAGCTTGTTCTTCCTGTATTCCATATGATCTAACCTTGCTAACCAGTCTACCGTGAGGAACATTGTCGAACGCCTTACTGAAGTCTGTATAGATCACATCCACTGCTCTGCCCTCATTAATCCTCTTCATTACTTCTTCAAAAAACTCCATTAAGTTAATGAGACACAACCTCCCAAGCACTAAGCCCTAATCAGTCCTTACCTTTCCAAATACATGTAAATCCTGTCCCTCAGGATTCCCTCTAACAACTTGCCCACCACCGATGTCAGGCTCACCGGTCTATAGTTCCCTGGCTTTTCCTTACCACCTTTCCTAAATAGTGGCACCATGTTAGCTGATCTCCAGTCTTCTGACACCTCACCTGTAGTTATTGATGATACAAGTATCTCAGCAAGGGGCCCGCCAATCACTTCCCACAGAGTTCTAGGGTACACCTGATCAGGTCCTGGGGATTTATCCACCTTTATGCGATTTAAGCTGTCCAGCACCACCATCTCTGTGATATGGACATTTTTCAAGATGTGGCTGTTTATTTCCCCACGTTCTACATCTTCCATATCCTTCACCACAGTAAACACAGATGCAAAATACTCATTTAGTACGTTTGAATTCTTGAATTCTTTTTAATAATTTGACCCATTATATTCCAACCTGTCTCCCATTATTGAGATCTGCCACCAGGTTCGTTTTGCTGAAGGTTTAATTTCATAAAGGTCAAATTGTTTTGTTAATCTAGGAAGCATTTTAATTTCATAAGTTAGTCAAGGCTTCACTGCTCCCCTGAACCTCAGCTCCACCTTCAAGTTGAACTCCAGCATCCAGTTCATGTTGATACCAGAAAAATGACACCCAAGTCAAGGCTGATTGTTAAGTTTTCTGCTCGGAACCTGCTCACCTCCAAGGAAATGTTCGTTGGACCATTTACACTTTGTGGGAGCTTGTGATCTGTAAAATGATTGCTGAGTGACCTATCTGATTCCTAATGGATCGCCTTTCTGATTCAAGGGTGGGGAGCAACTTTCTGTGTGCCTTACTGCTCAGGAGGTCAGGTCTTTCTAAGGGATTGAAGGTGCGTAATGGTGAAGAGATCCTTAGGAAGGGGTTGTCTATGGCTGCAATTTCCTGAGTTTTGGTCTGAGGACATGTCAGTATCCCCCATGTATGACCCTACGATTCAGGTCAGGTCAGTTTCCTGGGTGCAGAATTGTTGAAATCCACCCCAGCAGCTCCTCCTTCATCTTGTCACTCCTGCAGGTGGCGAGTGCTCTCTCAAGTCCTGCACTTAACCCGGGTTCCTGACACACTTCCTCTGACCTCCTTGTTTCTGTCCGTCGCAGATACTTCCAGTGCCCGCCCAAGTTTGGTCTCTTTGCTCCCATTCACAAGGTGATGAGGATCGGCTTCCCGTCCACCACACCAGCCAAAACCAAGAAGAGTAAGAGGATGGCCATGGGGGTCTCGGCCTTGACACAGAGCCCAAGCAGCTCTTCGATAAGTTCAGTCAGCTCCGTGGCTTCTTCTGTGGGGGGCAGACCGAGCCGCACCGGGCTGGTAAGGAAACAAAAGACAAAGAACTGGGGATGCTGCCGATCTGAACCGAATGCAGAAACTGCTGGAGAAGCTCAGCAGGTCAGGAGTCTCTGTAGGGAGAAAGCAGAGTCAACTTTTCAGATCCAGTGACCCTTCTGTTCTGAAGAAGGCTTACCGGACTCGAGACTGGGATAACTGCACTGAGGCCAGTATCCTGCCACCCAAGTCAATCTTTCGTTACACATGTACAGTTTGTGACTTTAGTATTGCATCATTCGGAGTCAGGTACCAGAGTATCAGAACCTCTAACACTCCTGTTCTTATCTGTCAGCCAGGGCTCCCTGATTGGACCAGGTTAAAAGTCAGGGAACTCGTATTCTATAAGTTCCACCTGGCTGACCTTGTTATAGTCACTACAGAAATGTTGACTCTGCTTTCTCTGCACAGCTGCTGCTAGATTTGCTGAGTTTCTCCAGCTGTTTCTGGTTTTGGGGCTATTAAAATCCTGCTTACATTTGGTATCTAAGTACAGATTGGAGCAGATAAGTCTTGCTTTTAGTGAAGCTTGGTCTTGCACTGCTGCCTGTGCCGTTAGTCAGAGCACTCTATTGGAATATACTAGCGCATGTTAAACTAGTATTGGTCTTTCACCAGATCGTTCTCGTCTTGTCTCACCCTTCCCCAGCCTCCATCACAACCTGACCTGTATCTCCTACCCCATCACTGCTACCCTTCTTTTGATAGGGATGAAATGCTATGCAGACCCCTCCCACCCCTGGACACACAGACCCCCCCTCCTACCCTTAGGCGCGCACACAACCCCACTCCCAGGCACACAACCCCACCCCTCCCACCCCCAGATACACACACCCCCAACCCCCAGATATACACCACACCCACCCCCAGGCTAACACCCACCCCCAACTCCCAGCTTCCACTCTATCCCCAAGCAGACACACACACCTCCCACACCCAGGCACACATGCCCCCCAAGCCCAGACACATCCCTCTACAGCCAGATATTAACACACATACAGACACACGGACACACACACACACGCGCACACACACACCCCTCCCAGCTAAACACACACAATCACGCCGCACCCCCAGGACGCC